TATTGTGTCAACCGCGGTAACAACTTCGTTGTCTTTGTTCTCTTCTTTCTTTCTCTTTTCTCTTCGCGAAATCTTCGTGATAACACTAGTTTATAAAAAAAAAAACAGCTATTTTTTGCCACATAGTTTCAATTATGTATATTATATAATATTTTTTACGCTAAATTAAAAAATGCACATAGCTGTCAATCCAGAATTTTCTAGTGATGTGGTTTTTAAGTTTAAAAAAAATTAATCTTCTTTACATGTACAGACATGTGGTTTACTTAGGAAAGATCGAGTCTAGTTGGTTCAAAGAGTATGTCAATCATATGCTTTGCTTATATATTCGTAAAAGAAACTGTAGAAAAAAAATAATAAAATATTCCTTTTAGAACATACACATATAGGTTTCGTCTCTGAAAACAAACTTATTATATAAAAAAACTTCATTATTCATTGTATAAATTCATTGTATAAATTCGGAATTGAGTTAAAGAATAGAGAAAACTGATTTAGAAGAACAGCCAAGTACATTTTTTTCTAAATTTCGTATTAATATTCTCCATTGTGAGAGAATTAGAAAGTTATTAGAGAGAATGGAGTTTCCATGTCTGCAGTGATATACTGTTTCGGGTAATAAAAGCAATTTTCACTCATAAAATGATTGAAATCGAGAATATAAATGGACAAGGTACAGTTGGCCATTATTTAAGAGTAGAAAGGGTTGTGAAAGACCTTTCACGTAGATCCTGTAACTATTAATTAGGATATTTAATTAGGACGTATTTGTATGTAGCCTTCTTATCCTGAGTTATTAGCTAACGTGACCTGGGCAAAATGACTACGTTATACGTAAAATGACTACGCATATTCATATTTCGGTTATTAGAGGAGAAGCTCTAAATATGGACTATGTTTTAAATACGGGCTACGAGTGTATTGACTTTATATGGTACTACATTCTACTAAGAAACATTTGAATAATATCTTTTGAAGCGTGTATAAAACTTGTGATTGCACGACTTTATCATCATTTCCTGCGCCGATTCGATTGTTTTACGAAGTTTTCGAGCCAAAGAAAAAAGCTGTGTGTACCATTTTGCAACAGAAAATATTTTTTTCCTTTATTAGAAACACTTTTTTTGAAACTGCATTCTTTTCGAAACAATATTTAAGTTAAAGTGGGCATCTTGTGTGTGAATATATATATATATATATATATATATATATATATATATATATATA